TAGAAGCCAGTAATTCTTCAGGATTTAAGTAGTTACAGTTAAATTCCACTGCACAAAATGGGCATAATTAGTGCTTTGAAGAAGGTCCTCCTGGTTTTCTGAGCTCTTTGCTACATGAGGAGGTTCTTCCTCTAAAATGGCACAAAATTGACCGTTATGCTTTTGGAGAACACTTGCTCCGGCTGGTGAAGAAAGTCTCCTTCTAGCTATTTTATTCCCTTTTCCACTTTGTGCAAGCCCTCTTTTTTTCTCTCCCCTGGTTCTCTTTGAGGCTGCTAGCAGAGAGCACGGGCAGCTTGAACCCAGCCTGAAGTGATGCTGAGCTGCCACTCTTGGCACTCTGAGCAAGCGTTTTCTCCCTGAGGGGCTGCTCAGCACCAGGACCCTGCTTTGGGCGACCACACGATGCGCAGCTCAACTCGTAGCCCACCCCAGCAGCAAACCCAGAACACATCCCAGGCACGTTTATCTTACCTTTAGTTGAGGCTCCAAGGCTGTTGTCTCCTGGGTTGTGTCCTGGCCTTTTTCTGGGGGCATGAGATGAGTGCCAGAGCTCCCTGCTGCTTCTCTCCTGTCTCTCCCTGGCAGGAACCAGCCCACCCTGTGCTGCAGCAGGGCTGGGGCACACCAGGCCAGTAATCTCCCCTGCAGCCTGCCCTGCTGGTGGTAGATAACTGGGGAGTAAACCACAATTATAGTGGTGCTTTTATTTCTGTAATTGTTTGCAGGTGCAGAGTAGATTAACTGTAGTTGGGTTTGGGTTTTTTTTCCTGCTGAAGCGCTTCCTAAACTCCGTGCCGTTTTCTCCCTTTCTCCCAGGCTGTTTAAACGGAGGCGGTCAGATCAAACTCGACAGTGAATCCAGCAAGGACCAGCTTCAGCAAGTGGAGAGGCTGTACGAGTCCCTCAAGACTGAAATTCCAGAGAAGAACCGGACTGTGCACGAGCTGTACGAGCAGTGGCTGGGCGGCACGGAGCCGGGAAAGGCAGCGAGAGCTTTGCACACCGAGTACCACGCCGTGGAGAGAGCGAGCGCCGGGTTTAACATCAAATGGTGAAGATTGATGCTGTGCAGATACTTTTTAACACAATTGTGTTTGGGATTCTCAAAAGACAGCCGTGGTTCTGTGCCATCCCTGGGAGTTTGCAATTTCGGGCTCCTGCGAGGGAGGAGAAGGAAATGTGCACGAAGCAGGCGATGTTCATTCCTGCAGCTTTATAGTTATTGGCGGGATAGAAATAAAAAATGCTCGTGTCAAAAGCAGCAGTAGTGCAACCCAGCCTCTGCATACTCTTGAAGGACTAAATCCACACTCCCTTTACATCCTGTTCCCACCAGCACTGATGAATTTAAGGTCCTGAAGGACTTGGCTTGCAGTAGCCTCGTGGCGATGAGCTTTACGCTGCGTGACAGTATCGTCCAGGCCTTGCTGTGTTTTCACAGCACCAAGTTTCATGGCTGTCTCTGTCAGGACATCCTCGTTTAGTTACAAATGGTCTAATTAGGCCTTGGGGTCTGTTTTTCCAGCTCCCTGCCCCTGCCTGGGCTGCCCTTGAGGTCCAGCTGCAGTCTCTGCCCTGTCAGGCCGCTGCCTGCGATCGCGGCAGAAGCCTCATCTCCAGGGCTGTTACCACCTGCTGAAACGTGACTGGAGTGAACGTGCAAGAAAAAGCTAGGGTGATTATTTTTTTTCCCCTTTAATGATAACAACTGTCTGCAAGTGTGGGCAATTACACTCTCTTTCTCTCCCTAAATACACAGTAGAGAGGGAGTCACAGAATTGTCTCATCCACCCCATCTTCAGCAGCCAGTTACTGAGAGACAATATCTTTAAATTCAGAGAAAACAATTTTTTTTACAGTGTTTCAAGTAAGAATTTGTTGCCAACATTCTTTCCAACGAAGGACAAAGTCCTTGGTGCCTCAGAAAGGTGTTACTAGAGTGAATAGAAGGCGGCTGTGAGGTGTAATCATTACAAGTACTTTACCAGGACAGTCCAAGGGGTTGGTGAAACCACATCTGGGTTAATTATGGTGCCTTGCCAGAAGACAGACGTGAAGCAGAATTGGTCTCTTGCTACTGGAATGTGCTTGTCTTGTTATCTGGATTTTTACCTACAGGTATTTTCAGAGCTATTTACAGAAAAACAACTGAATTAATAACTCTGTCTTGGTCTATTTAACCTGAATATCATTTTTTCTGGAGTTAGAATGCTGCAAGGAGGGGAAGGCAGCTGCTGGGGGGATTTGCAGCTGGGCCTGAACTCGAGGGGAAGGGATGCTGGCAGATGTGGAATCTCCCTGTAGCTGCAAGTGAACGTGAACTGGAGAATCACGTTATCGAATCACTTCAGTGTTTCTCCTTTTTCCAGTTACTGCTGTGGGAGGAAGAAGGGCTGTGCAGGGAGGAGAGTTAAGTGGACGAGAACTGAGAAACAAAGCTGCCACGTTGCTTTGTTCCTTCAGAGTAAATCCAGACAGCTGGAGCTGGTTACTGCATCTAGCCCAGACCGAAACCTTGCCCGGCCCCTCTTCAGAGATAACCCTCACCCAGTTACTGCCGGCCTTGAGCTCAGGGCTGG